TATTGTACGCACTATTATAGTAACTTATTAATTAATCTATCTACATTTATGGTTTATTTATACAATCACAACGTGACTATTCTTGTCCAAACCTATTGCCAATAATTTTAATAAAATATTATTGTTGGTATGTGCTGGTTACCGATCGGTTTGAAGTTTTACTTTACTACTAAAAAAATATTCATGGTTAAATATTTACTATATCTAATCACTTATTTTTGGAGCCGGTGCCAGCCAAGGCAAGTGCACAAAATATTTTCAAAATTGGTCCACAACTGACGATGAAATCGGTGACATAAAACGTACATACAATCGAACGTATAACCTGCACAAAAATAACATTATTTCCTGTTGTAATTATATTCCTAGATTACACTTTAACTTCGCAAAATGGGCCTGTCCTCGGGGACTTCCCGATACACAGCAGCTGGTTGGAAATTCGCAAAGACCGCGATTCCGGGATTCAGCTTCCCCGGGGAGTGCTGGTAACATCGCGGGATAAAAAATAGCCCCGGATTATAATGTGCGCCGGGTTTTATAGAGATCCATTGCGGCTGCGAAACGTTGGTGCTGGAGGTTTATTAATTTTTTAGGATTTCCGAGAAAGCTTAAGGAGCTTTTCCATTTTTGTACTGACTTTACATGTTTATTTACGTTGAAAACGTGGACATATTTGATTTTTTTATGATATCAATTGACGGTACGAATAAGGCGTCGACGTGCGGTTTGCTCTGCGAAGGGGCAGTGGTCTAGGGGTCGCGCGCCATTTGAAGTACTCACTGCGTAGTTGCTGAAATCATTCTTTGACAAGAATAGTTAATAGTACAGAACTCATTCGGGACGCTTCAGTTATACTGTTTATTTGGTTTTTGTTTACACAAATGGATACATCCCTTTTTACGAACCAGATCTGTAAATGGATCATTTCTACTTCATTACAAAGATTTAAAAAAAATTGTAGATGATTTTTTCAACTACACACGTGTGTCAATTGAATCCTTTGATTATTTCTTAGGGAAAATCCGAACGACAATTACTGAAATAGACACTAATTGGTTAAAAATCTGGTCGGTACTGCGGAGCCGGTGTGCCATACAAACTGAGGTACTTCACTACAACAATCATTCTTAACTTAATTTAATTAATGTGGAGTTTTCCTATTGAATTGTTTTTAATTTTATTTTAATAAGGTATATGTTTTAGTAAAGTAAGGACATAGTGCCCTCAGAATGTTGCAGTGTGTTACATGTCAAATACCATTAGCATAAGAGCATCTGTTATATAACCATGTAACTTGCAAATAAAAAATATGAATATGAGTAACCTAAACAATAAAATTATTTTGCCTTTGATTTGGACTATCCTAAAATTGCCTGTATTCATTTGCTACTTGGTCAGCTGTCCTACATTTTATGCCACTTATGATAAGGCGATATAAAGTTTAAACATGTTTTAAACAGAACCCCAATCCAACCCAAAAACCCACCCAGAAAATCAACGTGATGTTAACTGTATATATATGTAGGTTAGTAGAGTTAAATTATTCCCTAATTTACGAATTTCATTAAAATTCCAATTTGATTGCGGGACGTCATACAATGCTATTGTTCAATAACTTCTCTCTGGTAGTAAGTTTATCTACAATGTCAGTGTAGTTAAGAAAAATGTGCCTAATTATATTACTAGGGAAATCGTAAAATTCAATAACGAAACGTCGTTAAGTTGTCCTATATTTTTTAAATACAGGATGGCGGCGGTTGAAGGAGGCCAACCTCTATCAGGTTGGCCAACCGTTTGACAGCGAATTGAGTCGCTTGTTGCGAACAAACGGTGTTATGATAAAAATAACCATAGCCCATAAGGCTGGATCGTAAATCGCTTACAATCAGTGCGCGCGCGCATATATATTATAATCGGGTTTACGGTGGGGCCACGAGATTCGAGGATGTAGATCCTGAGTAGGTTTGGAGATCACTGCCTAATTTCACGGAATGGAAATATAAGATATACCCACCTACTGGTGGATGTAATCATTACTTTAGGAACATGAACAATCCCGGTGTAGCGCCATTACCCAGGTCGTTAGTCTATATCGCAGGGCGTCCTAAACTACGCTGTTACCTTGATGTGGTTCGCCTCTCCCGATCGGAAACTGCGTCTTTTCCGAGTCGAGGCGCATAATTGCGATACACAACTGGCCGATCGGAAACTTTTGGCATTTCTAATCGAAACAATAGTTGATTTAACTCACAAATTAGAAGGATATAGTAGGAATCAGGTTCATCTTCTCGCTCAGAAACCCATCTGATCCCCTAGTTTGTCATCCCTAAAGGTGGAACATTGTTGTGGAACATCTTCAAATGTAAATGGGACCAATACAGAGGTAACTTCTTTCCAACAAAAAAAGAATCAACAAAATCGGTTCACAAATAATTATTTCATAAATAAGTAATCGCATAACATACACACACACACACACAAACACACACACACACACACACACACACACACACACACACACAAATAAAATATACAGTCGAAATCAGAACCTCCTCTTTTTCGAATTCGATCCATCAGAGAAACTTCAAGCATAGCTCGTTTACTATTTATGTTATTTTATATAAATGGATAAAGCGTTTATTGTCTTGCATTATTCACACAAAAAGATAATACAATAATAGGCTAAAAGTGAAGCACACAGATATTAATATTAAAGGTGGAAACAAAAACAAATAAACGACAAGAAATTAGAATACGTAAAAAAACACCAACCTAACGGATAATGACACAGCCTATGTGTACTGCAGCAAGCAAAATAAATCGTGACTCAGTGTGGAATTTGAGAGTGATGTGTTGCAGAGCTTAAGAAGCAAAAATGTTGTGAATTCGCTCGGAATTCAAAAATAGAATCCTGAACGTAGCGAGGCACGAGACGCAAAACAACTTTGCTGCTCAGCGAAACACACAACTGTTCACCTCACTATAGCGAGGAAAATGGTAGATGAAAGAAAAACAGTTCAACTGTAACAAAATAATTTAATAAACAAAATTAGTTATCGCTGTCAATTTAATGTCGACAATAACAAGAATAAAATATACCAACGTATTTGTATTACATAAATAATGTTCGACAAATCGCGTAGCTGAACTTGTCATTATGTTTTTTTTTCATCGAAAGAAATAGTTAGGTGCACCACAAACCATTGTCAAGTTCGAATTTCGAAAACCTTGGAAAAACGCTTTTGTGCGCAGATTTCTAACGAGAAATAAAGCCTTTCCGAGAAAGGTGAAAAAAATATTATTAATAAGTATAAAATAACAAAAATGTATATAAATTCATAATAGAAATTCTAATAAAAAAAATACATATCTAATTAAACATTTTTTTTTCGATCTAAATCGCGTTATATTTGTTTTTCAAAACAACCCAACGTTTCGACCCCTTTACAAATACTATGGTCATATGATCTCTATATAAAAAAAATTCTGTGAATGATCTCTATATAAAAAAGATTTTTTTCTGAGTGTTCGATCTTTGTATTAATAATTGTACCAAACTAGCGGAGTAATTTCACATAAAAATAATTGAATATCAATTCAATACAAATAAAAAAAAAACGATTTTTTTTACATAGCTTGAACCAAGCTTAAACCAATAGTCTAAGGAACGTGCCGGAATGTTAGAGCTATGAGATCAAAATTGTGAAACCGCTGTGCTAATGGCTGTACCCTCATAACATCAAACGGCTCGCTGTATATAGTTTACGGGCGATAAATCCGCGTTGTCTAATAAAATACGTTTCATGCTAAGCTTCTTCAGGTGTACTGCAATAATTGATATTAGCTACAATTGATTTTGTTTGGCAACAATTCCTTATCGAGTAAAGAATTAGATTTCTCACCACTAATAACATGTCGCAGCGAATTGATATTCAGATGGCGTTACGACAAAAAAGCGTTAAAAACCAAGATCTGCAACAAGCACAGAAAACTTCGAAAGATCTGCTGGTTCATTCCGTGGCTTAGTTGGCACAGCGTCTGGCACGGTTTGCTAGAAGACGTCGGTGCGAGTCTGGCCGGATCGAAGCTATTTTTTTCTAAGTTTTCGATCTTTCTGTTAATAATAATAACAAACTAGTGGAGTAATTTCACAAAAAAATAATTGAATATCATTTTGGTGATACATTTTGATATTCAATAAATTTAACAATACCTTATCGAGTTTGTATAGCGAATAATTGATACTAGAATATCTTATGTGTTTGACGTAATACGGTGCTCAATTTAACTGCCTCGGTGACTGAACGGTTACTATGCTGGTCTATCACGCAAAGGTTCCGGGTTCGGTTTCCAGGCCGGGAGAAATATTTGCCTACATTTATGTCCCTCGTGAGTTTGGATCTAATTTGTGGTTGTCTATGTGTGTGCCCATGGCACCCGCGTTACAGGGTTCCCCTAGTGCGTTTGCGTATGCGTTTATTTTATTTATTTGTCTGCAAAATGACAACTTTGTAGGAGAGCTATAACATTTTCATATATACCAATATTTTTTTGCACCACTTTTGACGTATCTGTCCTTATCTTTATATATCAATGGTACAATTTATACGTTTAAATGTAACTGTTGAAACATAAAAATGACTAAAGTAGTTTTGAAAGTGTGTGTTAAAGTTTCATTTACTCAAATATTCGAAAGTAAGAGATGATAATAGATGAATAAAAAAATTAGGGCTTAAAACCTCTCCCTGGGGGACTCTCATTATTGCATGAGGACAATAAGTGCAAATATATAAAAGCTGCCTGTCACATATACGCTACATAAGCATTGAAGATTTAAAAACTTGACAATCAACATAGAGATAAGAAATGCGTTAATATACAAGAACTATATTAAAAAGAAATTGATTGAGGCAGGGCCACTAGCCTATCAGTTGCTATAAGACTTATATAAACCTTTAATTAACATGAACACTCTTCAATGCATAAAAGACAAGGATAAGAAATAAAATGCGATGAGAATTACGATTGTTTATTATTAACAATGCCCAACCAAGTGGAAGGACAAGTGTCTTGAAAAGCAGCGCTGGAATGTGCCAAGTGGACGTCCAGGAGTTCAGCGACAGGTAGCAAACGGGCCGCGATGGCCTTGAGCATATCTATCACTTGAGGTCCGACCATTTGGGGCTTGGTATTGAGGACTTCGATTGCTTTGGAACGAATTGCGAAGTTGACAGTGTTGCGGAGGTGGAACTGTAAATAAAGATACAGGTAAAATTTGTTATGACGGAAGATTAGAATTTAAAAGAGTTTAACGGCTCTCGGTGTTTGATAACCATTAAATATGGGTTCGTTTTTGACAGTAATCGGACTGTATAATCAATATAAAATCCACAATGGAGTAAGCGTACCAAGAAAATGCCTGGTCGTTAGCGACACGCCTACCTATGACAAGTGCAGTACTATTAGTGGCTTTAAATCGTTAAGACCTAAACGGAACTGCCACTGCGCCCATCACTCTGAGACATTAAGTTGACACGTCCAATGTGCTTGTAGTTGCACCAGCAGCTATAAACGCTTAAATACAAGAAATTAAAACTAGGATTAAGTTATACAAAAAAAGACGCTGGCAGCGTTCCCATTTACATAAATTTTGTGCAAGTGAAAGTAACGGGATCCAATGATATTTACAAATGTAAGAAATCCGCCCGTGATCTGCACATTTTTTTATGATACCTTACAAGTCTTGCTTCTGGTGGTAAGCGATACGCCTGTCTATAACAGTTGCAGTAAGTAACACTCAGAGATTTAAATCTCAAAGGTGTCAGAAGCACTGCAACTGCTCCCGTCATTTTGAGACATAAGCTGACAAGTCCCATAAGCCTAAAATTTCACCAGCACCCTTACCCTTCAAGGCTCACATTACTGTTTTGCGGCAGAAATAGGTTTGGTGGCAATACTTTCCTAGACGAACCCTTTCACAAGGAGTTCTATGCGCATTTCTTTTTTTATTTAATTTTTCGCTTAATATAGAAAGTAGAAGATTGGTAGTGTCGAAATAGATCTGAATTTGAATCTGAATTTTTAAAAACGTTGTTTTTTATTGTGTCGCCGGAAAGCATACCGTTATCAACAATTTGTCTAGGGGCAGTACTGTGGGGTGCACGAAAGGAGTCTCACCCCACGACGAATCCCTGCACCACGATGGCATGCATTATTATGTATGCCGTCGATACGTTGAGAAGAAGGATCAGTACAGTCAACTGTACAATTAATTACTTTAACGGATTTTTATCATTTATTGTTTATTATTATTATGTACCAGGTAACCACACAAATTCCTTGGCCTCAAACTAGGGAATTCCATGTACTTATGAGTACCAGAGCAATGGAATTCATTCCGGGGCATTACCAAAACACCCAGACCAAAATATTCCCTGCAGGGAATCCGACCCGGGACCTACTCATTAAGAACCCGTAGTGCAAACATCTTTCTTCTTCCTTCTAGCCGTTTTCAACCATATCGGTGTAGGCCTCTTTCAGTTTCTGTTACTTCTCTCGGTTCTGTGTCACCTTTATCCAAATTAAGCCCGCCACTTTCTTTATGTCATCCTTCCAACGCATCTGCGGTCTTCCTCTGGGGCGTTTTTCTTCCCAAGGTTGCCCATTCGAGGACCGTCGTACAACGGGAGCCATGCTTTCGAGCAACGTGACCCGCCCACTGCCACTTAAGGTTCGTTACACGTTTGGTGACATCTGCGACTCTGCTTTCATAGTGCAAACATATGTGCAAATACCAAATTTATGAATTAAAAGGAAAACAGCAAAATAGGACGCTAACGGGTGGTAATGTAGTTTCATGTCTATTAGGGATTTTTCATCATTCCTTTCCATCTTAAGCATTTGATTAATTACGATCATCGATTCCCAAATGAAAATTTAATTTACGATTTGACTCTTCCAGTTTCACCGTTTATAATGGTACCAAGTCGTCATTACTATATTTGCGCAGCGTGTTTTTACAAGAAACAACAAAGTGTTATTAAATATAAAATGTTTCTTTAAGGTCAGTTTGTCGTCATGTTACAGCAAGTTTTACTCTCAAGCTTTTATAAAATGCGCTTCCGCAACTTTGTTGAAGACATTCGGTTATATGGTTTTATATTGCTTTATAGTTTAATTGTACACCAGTCCTCACCAGTCGCTGCTAGGCAAGGTAGTGTTTATAATAAATTTCAAAAACAATAAACTTCGTTCATAAATTCCGAAAAACTAAAGTGAAAACCCAGATACGATCCTCCTGACCCTGCTTGAGAGACGGTTTGTCAAAGTTATGTCTGATTTTTAAATGATATTAAAATTTTGCTTGAAAACATTGACTTACAAATAAATGGACGACGGGTCTAATACAAAAACCACAAAAAAATGTCCCAAGTCAATCTATTTAAACGTAGTGACATGTAAAGGAATATGAAAAAGCTAAAACGTTGAATTTAAATTGTAATGTCATCGCAGTACTGTCTAATTTTGCTTGCTTCGGTATCAGTCGAACAAACGAAGACTAAAGCGTGAATGACGCTCTGTATACGGTTTTAACGCCCTACAAGTTCGGACACTTTTTAGCGCGGACCCGACGTCCATATAATTGTAAGTCAATGCTTGAAAATTAATTATTACTTATATTTCTACTATTACAACTCCATCAAAATTGCTACTATTCACTGAAAGATTTATTGTAAGTAAATACTGTGTAACATTTGTATGAAAACCTAATAGGCACATTGACGACTTCAGCGGCTTAACGGTTTGCGCTGTGGGCGCTGGATGAGAGGGTTCCTAAAGTAAGTTGGGAAATATACTTTAAAAAAAGTGGTTCAAGTCTGGGAGTGCTGTGAAATGCCTCGTAGTGAAGTCCTTGACTCTGGTATTCGTAGTGCAGGGAATTCCCTACATTGAGATCTTTTTCTTCTTCTTGGTGTGTCGACTCTGAGGTTTATGTTTGTGAAGACCCGTACTTAGCGACTGACACAGCTTTCTCAGTGTCGTTATACAGGTCCTCGCGTGGGCAGGACAAAAGATGTGCTACTGTCTGGGAAGAGACACCACACGTATATGCGCTCTCCGAGCTGTAACCCCACCGGTGCACGCTCCCCTTGCTTCGACCAACTTGGGTCCGCAACCTATTGAGAGACTTCAAGTTTGCTGAACAAATTACCTGTTAACATGACTGAACTGCTTGCGAACAGATCACATGCGAGCCTTTGTACAGACCTGTATGCAACCTAAGGTAGATCATGCCCAGGAGGGAGGTGCTCTGACAGCAATGAGTGATGCCGTGGATTGAGAACAGGTAAAAGGTGTGAAAGACTGGCACATTATTGTTATTTTGTAGTACAAAAGTATCTCTTTGAAACTATTTTTCTAGATCTAAATCATCAGTCGATCATTCGTGAACATGGGACATGTAAAGGACCCATGATTTGTTTCAAAAAGGAAATATCCGCCATTTTGGATCCGGAAAACAGTTATTTGTTAAGCAAGATTGCAAAGTTGTTGTTTGGCGCAAGTACTTGTACTGAAACCTGAACAAGCGAAGGAAGCTAAGATTCAACCTCGAGCGAAGCGAGAGGATCAAAAATGGACTCCTGAGCGTAGCGAGGTGTCCAAGGCACGAGCTTTTTTAATTAAAAGAAAAAATGTATATCTTCGGATGTGTTCTGAATGTACATCAATTTTTATTCTTGCCTGTACTTTTATTTGTGTGTTTAAGTGATTGTTTAAATTATTTTACTTCTTCGACGAATTAAAATAATTTAATAAACACAATTAGCTATCATGGCAATTTAATGTCAACAATAATAAGAATTTTTTTTTTTCAACGAGCGAAAATGTTCCATCGTCAAGTTCCAATTTCAGAAACGCGTTTGCGCGCAGGTTTTTAATGAGAAAGAAAGTCTCTCTGAGCTAGTGAGGTGAAAAATAGTTTTATTTCCATTTTTGTATCTAACCTGTATAAGTAGAGCGATGCTTAGGTGCACCGGCTTGATGTCCATAACCTTGAGTTTCCGGATCAGCACCCTCGGGGTCAAATCGTCTAGTTTGCCCAGCTGGGCTATTATTCGTGGAGCCTGGAAAAACAAGCTTATTAGACGTTTGAATAGGGCCATATTGTAATGTATATAGTGGGCACATGAAACGAATATAAGATACTTCTAGAACAATCATGTCAAATGTCACTGGTTTTCTAGAATATTGTCAATGATAAATATGTATAAATGTTTATTTTCAAGGAGCAAGCCCTAAGGCTTTTTGTTCATTCTTCTCAACAGAATGTGTCTTACGAATGACCAGTAGAGTTTAATCAGTAATATACAGATTTCAACTGTGATTTGTATGTATGTATATGGATTATTGGAGTTTGAGTTTGAATATATAAAACTAATAACCTTACCGCGTATCGTTTATTTCTTGAATTTATTTCTTCTTGAAACGAATCTAATTTCTTTTTCCCCATCATAAAATAATTTTTGTGTAGTTAATACATTGACTTACAATTATATGGACGTAGGGTCCGCGCTAAAAAGTGTCCGCACTTGTAAGGCGCTAAAATCGTATACAGAGCGCCAAACTCCGCTTTAGTCTTCATTTGTTCGACTGACAGCGCGATACTGCGATGACATTACAAATTAAATTTCGAATAGGTTGACTTGGGACATTTTTTTCGTGGTTTTTGTATTAGACCCGTCGTCCATTTATTTGTAAGTCAATGAGTTAATAGTAGATATTTACAAGCATCGAGTATATAACCAGAAATAGAGTCGAAATGTCATTTAATTTGTTTGAAAACTATTCTGTCATATCATTACTGTGACAACTGCGCTCCGATTGGCTAGCCCGAGTTCGAAACAATTGACGGGTGTCGTCAATGGGTGTCGTCAACTGTTTCACTTCAATTCGACCAGTTAACTTGTTATAATGGATGAAAATTGCAAAATTACATATTTAATATTTAATTACCGATGAAATGAGATTCCGTTTGTTTTGTAATTAGATGTTTTGCTGTTTTTCCCACACCACCGAATAGAACAGCACGGCATTGTTAGAGATATTATCTTTATTACAATAAATACAAAACATTTTTTGGAATATACGAAGACGTACACACAGGTCAGTAGTTGGCCTGTCTATAATTCAGTTTATAAATATTAACTCCCGTTTGCACTGGCAAACGGGAGTTAATATTTATAAGAGCTGTAACCTTAGAATAATAACGTATAGAAACCTAGTCCGCACACGCTAAGTGAGGCAAATTGAAGCGCGCCAAAGGGCCTACACGAGCGGGCAGGCCGTCAGTGCTCAAGGTCAACTTGCACCGCGAACAGATCAAGAATTTTAGCTAAAAATGACGAAATGTGCTGTAAATGAGTGTAAAAATACGTCAGACAAACATAAAATAGATACTCACGTCACATTCCACAAGGAAGTAACACGTTTCAACTTGTATTTTTATATACTACTAAAACTAGCCTACATAAATTTGATTTTTGCCTCACTTGTGACAGTTCGTTTGATATGAAACTATCATTCTATGCGTTATTATTCTAAGGCTGTAACGCTAATATGTTACCAGGAGTATATGGTTCTTATTTCGTCTCCATTTCTGGTTATATACTCGATGTTTACAAGGCTCTTAAAAACAAACGTAGACAAAACTTGTTATAAAAATTTTAATACGTCGTACCCAGAAGGCTGGCAACATATCATCTTCGAATAGTTAAAACTTATTCTTTGGCGGAAATAACAGCGAAATGTATTATTATATATATATATTATTATATTATATTTATATATTTATCACAGGAAAGAGCTAGACAGAAGATGTTTTGATTTGACATTCAAAAACTATTAATGGATTTCTACTAATGATAAACTTTTGAAGTCGTTTATTGAAAATCTTAATTTTGTCTACGCTTATAATTTACTTGGGTATTTTGATATTAATTTTTATTACAATGGAATGTGGGCCAGATATAAATATATATAGTTTTTAACCGACAGAGAACGAAGTTTACGTCAGTAGTGATCCCATCAAAATTTTAAAAAAATATTCCACCTCTAAGGGTGACAAATTACGGGATGAATTTGGTTTACTGGATTACACCCATTTATCAATAAACTCGTCAAATATTTTTAATTCCAGTAACTTTTGAGGTTGGTGTTTTTTTTTCAATAAAAAAAAGTTATAATTATGACTTTCTTTTGAGAAAAGAGTTTCTAATCTTAAGAGGGAGCATGCCAAAAAAGTTTTGACGTTGGCTTCGCCCAAAATTGTGAAACAAATATATGCCTGAAGTTCGCGTGACTTGCGACAGGAGATATTGAATTTAGCGCATTAAAAGCACCAAATCCGTTTTAACGGAATAACTCTAAAACTAAAGGGATTAAACAAAATCCGTAGTGACAGTTGTCGATCATGCATAAATATAATTAGTTATCTAATTTTTGTCCTAAAAACCTGTAGCATTTCGAGGATAAATCGAAAAAATGTGAAAATTAGAGGTCATTTCGGGTTTTTATCTATCGAGGAAACTTTATTGTTTTATGTTTCTGATTAATGTCTATGCTTGAATATATCGTGTAATTACTCATACAATATTTTATATTTAACTTTAAAGTGGATATACCCCTCTAAAATCAAATCGAAGATTAGGAATTTTTTCTCTGCTCCCTTTCAACATTCATGGACGACCAACTAACTTTGACCTATAAAATTAATGCGATCATCATAATTAACTTTGTAAGGCTTCCTATTATCGATGTGATTGGCTGTATAAGTTATAACATAATCCTCTAGCGAAAAATACCCATCAATGTACACCTGGAGTTTCGCCGCCAATAACGTAAAGTATACTGTATGATGTTAGTACTATAACGGCCCTATGAAGTTGTTACTATTTTGTAACCCTGTGTAAATGTAAATTCTGTTATGTTTATATAAAAAATAATTAATTTAACTTCTTAAGAGTTTAT